ACATAATAAAAAAAGTAACATTCGGTAAAAATATCAACATGAAAGAACCTGTTAACTTTTGGATTCCTGCACGTCAAAGCAAGATTCCTCATTTAATACAATAAGGCCCTGCTCATCTTAATTGAGTAATAAACTTAAAAGTTATGAGCACTTAAGTAGAGATACATACAAAAAGTTTCTATACAAATTTATGATTTGCATATTATAAAGTACACACCTTTTACTACAATTTCGAATCGCTATATCTCAGAAATGGTAATCCTTAGGTAGAAAAATGTTATAACAGTTTTTATAGATAATTGTATGATCTATACTTCCGGCTTACCTATTTTTATGATAAACCTTACCGCTTTGCTAGAAAATTCAAAAAAGCAATTTATGTGACCTTGAATAACTTTTTTTGCAGACGTGGGATCGGTGGGGACTTTTGACATTCCATTTGTAATAGTGTTCGCAATACTCGTACCAATTTTTAGCTTTATGCTTATTATTGTAAGCTTACCTTATTTTTTGAACTAACTTGACTGAGCTATTGATTTGTAGCGCCATCTTGCGGTTCTTTAAATAAGAATTAGGTATCAAAAATTAATGCTTCGTATCGAAAAACCCCCAAATACAAATTTGTATTAAAAAAAAATATTCGTAACACTTTAGTAAATATTAATCTGCATATTAACTTAGCATCAATTAAAAATTATCTTATCTGACTTGAGAGCTATGGTCTGGAGGAATTTTTTTCTTAGAATTTTATAAAGAAACCGAATCTGCTAGCAACGATGCCGAAAAAAAATCCATCCATACAAATTGACCCGCCCTAATCTTATCTTACTAATATTATAAATGTANCGGAGAAAAATTTACCGATTGGCACGCAGCCAAAGATACGAATATGGTAAATTTTGTCAGATTTTATCTACCACAAAAGCCGAATTTTGAAAGACGAAAATGCGAAAAGCAGAATTTTGTGAGACAGAATTTCAAAATGCGGAACTTTCAAAAGCAGAATTTTGAAAAAGAAAAATTAGAAAAAGCAGAATTAAAAAAACACAGAATTTTGATCGAGCAGAATTTTTTAACATTTTGCAGAATTTCGCGATGTAGAATTTTGTAATGCAGCGTAATGAGGCGCTCCCTTACATATCTACCTACCATACAAACCGAATTTTTCTTACTATGTACATAATAAAAAAAGTAACATTCGGTAAAAATATCAACATGAAAGAACCTGTTAACTTTTGGATTCCTGCACGTCAAAGCAAGATTCCTCATTTAATACAATAAGGCCCTGCTCATCTTAATTGAGTAATAAACTTAAAAGTTATGAGCACTTAAGTAGAGATACATACAAAAAGTTTCTTTACAAATTTATGATTTGCATATTATAAAGTACACACCTTTTACTACAATTTCGAATCGCTATATCTCAGAAATGGTAATCCTTAGGTAGAAAAATGTTATAACAGTTTTTATAGATAATTGTATGATCTATACTTCCGGCTTACCTATTTTTATGATAAACGTTACCGCTTTGCTAGAAAATTCAAAAAAGCAATTTATGTGACCTTGAATAACTTTTTTTGCAGACGTGGGATCGGTGGGGACTTTTGACATTCCATTTGTAATAGTGTTCGCAATACTCGTACCAATTTTTAGCTTTATGCTTATTATTGTAAGCTTACCTTATTTTTTGAACTAACTTGACTGAGCTATTGATTTGTAGCGCCATCTTGCGGTTCTTTAAATAAGAATTAGGTATCAAAAATTAATGCTTCGTATCGAAAAACCCCCAAATACAAATTTGTATTAAAAAAAAATATTCGTAACACTTTAGTAAATATTAATCTGCATATTAACTTAGCATCAATTAAAAATTATCTTATCTGACTTGAGAGCTATGGTCTGGAGGAATTTTTTTCTTAGAATTTTATAAAGAAACCGAATCTGCTAGCAACGATGCCGAAAAAAAATCCATCCATACAAATTGACCCGCCCTAATCTTATCTTACTAATATTATAAATGTAAAAGTTTGTATATTTGGATGTTTGGGAAATCATCACGCGGAAACGACTGAACGTATTTGCATGACATTTTGTACGCAGATAGCTTATGGGCCAGATTGGTTAATAATAATAATCTCAACGGTTTTTAACCTCCATTCCTGCGCATCCGCACGAGGGGCGCAGTCCGCATAACGTACGGAACCAGTATTTTCAATTTTTGTGCCGAGTCACGATAGGCAGGAGTTGGTTAAGTGTCGAGATCTAAAACTGCTCAGCTACAGAACTAAATTCATCAGCCGATTTTATGTCTTTATTTTAATGATTCATTTATTGAGAGAGGACAGTATCGATTTCTTAATGCTGAAAAGCGGATCTGATATATCAAACGTGCTGGAATGAGAGTGAAAATCCTGGCATAAGCAACGGAGTGGGTAGTGCAATTCAAAATTAGATTTGCAAGCTTTCAGAAATAGGGGACAAAAGTGTCTTGATACCCGGGAGGGAACATTCAGGCTAACTTCGCCCAGAAGAAGCGGACTTGAAATTGAGCCTGTTAGTAATTTAACTATAACAAGTAAGAAAGTCTAAGTTCGGGCGGAGCCGAACATTAAATACCCGGGACAAGTATTAAATATATGTTTTTCACCTTTCCGAATGCTACCGCTACATGGTAAGCCGGGGTGTATCAATTTTGAGAAAATTAGCGTCGTTAAATTTCGAAATATTGAAGTTTCAAGCATTTCTGAAATTTACCGTTATATGAAAAGCGGAAGTAATTTTATCCAAATTTTTATTATAAACGTATTTCTTGGTATATAATTGTTGCAAGCATCAATTTTGAATAAATTAGCTTTAATATTTACTGATTTATCGAAGATTTTGTATTTCTGTAAATTACCGTTATATGGGATGTGGGCGTGGTTATTGTCCGATTTTTTCGGCCATTTCGTATGCTGTATTAAGGTCAACTACTGGGCCAAGTTTGAAAGAAATTGGTGCAGCGGTTAGCAAGATATGCACATGTAACCATAAGTGAGCGTGGCTACGCCCATTTTCCAAAAATGTATAATATTCTTATTTTTCGTCTAAAACTTATTGTAAATATCAATTTTGAGTGAATAATCTCCAGTAGTTACTAATATATCGCAGTTTTCGTACCGTTATATGGGAAGTGGGCGTGGTTACAGTCCTTACCTTGGATAATTGGAAACCTGGATACCAAATTTCGTTGAGATATCTCAATTTTTGCTCGAGGTATCGTGTACACGGACGGATGGACTGACGGACGGACAGACAGACATGGGTTAATCGACTTCTCTATTCATTCTGAGCAGTTATGTATACATTTGTCTATATCTATCTCGATTCGTTTTGGCTGTTACAAACAACCGTTATGTGAACGAAGTTAATATAACCTTGTGCACAAGTGCGCTCGGGTATAAAAATTGTACTAAGCATTTTCCTGCGGCTGGAAAGTGTAGGAAGATTAATAAGTTTTAATCAGCTCGTATAAGGTGGAAGGTTATATTAAGAATCCCAACGGAAATTTCTTAAAGCAAAAAGTAGGAATTGTTTTTGAATTGATTATATCTTGTCTGAGTAAAGTTGATACCTTGGATTCCAAACCACCGAACCGTATTCCAGAATTGGCCTAACTAATGTTGTAAACAGGGTTTTAGTGATATATGGGTTACAAAATACTTTTGACCATCGTTTCACAAATGCAAGTACACCTTTAGCCTTGTTGACTGTCACATTAATATGAAGATTAAAATTAAGCTTAGGATCCATTTTGATACCAAGGTCCACAAAATTGTATACCTGTTCCAGGTTATGGTTACCTATTGTATAAGAAGCGGGATGAACAGCTCTTCGCGAGAGGCACATTACTTTACATTTCTTAAGACTTACAGGCCTATTCTGCACGTTACTGAAGATTTTGTAACCGGAAATTTTTATTACCAAAAAATGTTACCACATCTTGTCACCGCGATTTTAGGTACGTTGGTAATGCAGTGAAAATATTCAGCAACTCAGCAATGAATATTTGTGGAAATTCCTGTATTGCATATTTCACGGGGCAATATTTTGTTACCAACTTATGAGATGGTAACCAAATTTACCGGTTACAAGAGAGCACAGAACGTACGATTTTTAAAGCTTTACATCATCTGCATACATTAAAACTTTTGAAAGTTGTATATCTGCAGAAATATCGTTTATAAAAAGCAAGAACAGAACCGGGCCTACGTGGCTACCTTGAGGGACTCCTGAAGTAACATCAATAACGTCAGAGATAGTATTTTTAAACATTACCCTTTGTGATCTATCATAGAGGTATGAAGAGATCCAACGTAGAAAATTAGGTGGAACGAGTGGCATACTTTATCAAATGCTTTACTGAAGTCAGTATATATATCATCCAGGGTGGGCAAAAACTCGGAATTCGAGCGAGCGAGCGAGCAAACTCCTACTCATTGCCTCGCAGGCAACGAGGCGCACGCAGCTCGTACTCGTAGCAGCATTGAAGCGAGGAACGAGAAGTTTGGCTTGCTCGGCAAACGAGCGAGCGCTGCTTGTTTGCTCGCGCTCCTATTAAACGAGCGAGGCTGTTGTCTGTTGCCTCGCTCGCAGTGCGAGGCGAGTTGCTGTCTGCATACTCGCTCTGCTAGGTAAGACGAGTGAGCGACGAGCGAGCGCTCCGAGTGTACTATACAAAACATGCATTTTTGTGCATAAAAATGTGGGAATGTAATCAATAGATTATGTACGAAAGTATGTTAATAATTGTATGTACATATGTACCTATGCATATATGTAAATATGTGAATATTATATTAGGGCAGCATTTAAAACAACAAATAAAATTTACTACATACATAAGCATAGATTGTGGAATGAAATATTTTTTAGTTACATATATGTGGGAGCACAGACTTGACTTACTTAAACCTACTCACTAACAGACTTAATTTACTTACTTAAATATGCACCTCTAGGATAGAATACGACCCTGGGTCCAATGCGACCCTGAATTAAATGACGCTAACTTACTGAAAAATGCAACTCTACAAATAGAAATAACGGAGTTACAGTTACCTTCAAGAAGTAAGCCAATGTACAGCTTAGTTAAATATATTTCTTTTTTAAAATAAGTAACTTTTGTGCCACTAAGTACTTTAATTTATAAATATTAAATATTTTACCAATAAACACTGTCGTTTGTGCCGCTAAGTACTAGTGTTTTATTCGGCATCCTACATTTGGTGTCTGAAGTGACGGGCCGCATGAAATAAATAGAATTTAATACGGTGGCGTTAAGTTACTTTCTTTGAATAATACGAGTGCGATTTGACTCGTAATAAAACAATTGGTGAAGTGAATATTGCACAATAAAAAATAGATAGTAATTATTTGCTGAAGATTCTGCATACAACAAAATGTTCAGCGGAGCCCTAGCGCTCCAATGCAAACCTCGAAAGGCAGTTATGAATTCTTATTGGAATTAATTTGAATTGAAGAACAGAGAGTAAAGGTACAGAAGAAAATAAGAGAAGCGCAACTAACGAGTAAAGTACTAGAGCAGAAAGCAGAGAATAAAGCAAGGCGAATTTGTACGACATTTTGAATTCCCCCTAGAATAAAGCAGCAGTCAACAAAAACCATCATTCCAAAAAAGATGCAAATATTGGAATTTTGAAGCAGTGAAAACAAAGTAAATCAACAGTGAAAGATAAAAAAAACGCAAAAGCTACTTGTGGCAAACTGTTTGACAGAAGCAAGTGAGCAGTGAAAAATAACACAAAAGCAAATATTTGAAATGTGAAGCTGTGTGTGTAACCAGCCATCAAGTGAGCGAAAACGCAAAAGTAGTTGAGAGAAAATGAAATAACAAGCAAGTGAACAAAAACGCAAACGCAAGTGAGAGACATTAAAATAACCAGCGAGTGAGCGAAAACCCAAAGCAATTGAGAGAATAGGAAATAACAAGCAGGTGAACAAAAACGCAAACGCAAGTGAGAGACATTAAAATAACCAAGGAGTGAGCGAAAACGCAAAAGCAATTGCGAGAATAGGAAATAACAAGTGAGAAAACAGAAAGTAACGAGTAAGATATTTGAAATACGAAGAAGTGAACTAAAACGAGTTCGTATAAGTGAACAAGAATACAAAAGTAAGAACGAGCAAGTTGTTTGAGTTGAGAAAAATGAACTAAAAGCGAGTCAAATTTCGAAAACAAAATGCCAACACATGTAATAAAGCAAAAGCAGATTAAATAATACAAATAGATGTTCAATAAATAAAACCAAACTGCAAAACTAAAAAAGGCCGTTACTAAGCTGACCAGGACATTAGCAGAAATATCACCACTTAAGCATCGTGGGATTGAGCACTATAAAGCAGAATTTCAGATATGTCTAAATTTTATTTAATCTAAACTAATCCTATGTTAAAATAAAGTTTATGGTATCATTTGGGTCGGTAAAGTAACTAAAAAGTAAAACAAACTTTGGTAAATGTTGCGGATTTAAGATTTAAATTTTGCGAGATTTTAACGCATAGAAATACATAAGAAGAAAAACTAATTATTTTGCAAAAAGGAACAATTAATTATTATTCTTAGTTTGGTTAAGTTAAACATTGTACTTTTAACACATTATATCTACTTTTTAGCACACAAGATTTTATATTCAATATTAAAATGGACACAGCGACTATACTTCGTTTGACAGTTGATATTTTAAAAGAAAAATTAAGGGAGTGTGGGTTGTCGACAAGTGGACGGAAAAAAGAATTACAGGACAGATTGCTTGTACATTTCGGGCATTCTGTAGGTCAGGAAGAAGATGAAGAATCTCTGGAATCACTTTATGAAGAAGTAAATGCCTTAAATATGCGTCCAGATGTGTCTCACTTGCCGTGCCAACATCGCCCTGGTTTTACATTAAAGGATTTAGGTGATAGTATAGCTCGATTTAGTGGTACAAATAAGGATGATATTGAACAGTGGTTAACAGAATTTGAAATGAATGCGGATATATTGCGTTGGTCTGATCTTCCATGATTCAATAATACAAGGTTGGATAACCTGGCAGTTGTCTCGCTCCCGCATTCTGCCTTAGCCTTTGTTGCCTTCTTTTTTGATTTATAAAAACTACTACTAAAATACAAGGAGAAATATTGTCTTCGTATAAAAAGTTCAACAGGCAACACTGCCGATATTTTCATCGATTGTTTCGAGAAAATTCATTTTCTTATTGAGCAAATTCAAGTTAAGCTGAAATTAGTCGAGAACGCAGAACGTATACTTAAACGCAGTCTGTATACGCAGAATTTTGTCGATTACTGGAGTCCTCAGGCCCTGTGCCAATTGATAGAAAATAGAAAATTTTGACGGATCAAAGTAAAAATTTAACACTTCTCGTGGTGAATACGAACGTCAAAATTTTACCTAGCTCATGGGGCTAGGTAAAATTTCGACAGCTTATAACCATGTATACACATAATATTGCTTGGCGGTAATAAGGAGTGAACATAAAAATGAAAGCTGAAACAGCATAAAAAAAGCCTACGTTACTTGCAAATTATAAAATAAATATAAATTTTAAGAATTTCAGCAACACACAAAAATAGAGCTTTCGCACGAGCGTTTGTTTGGTTTTTCAACTGTCAAAATTTTACTTTGCATTTGGCACAGCAAAATTCAATTTATTTGTACACCATAGCAAATTTTTCCACCCCGTCTCACCACGGAGAAAAAAGTTACCGATTGGCACAGGCCCTTAGTGTTGCTTACTACACTGTTGCCACCCATCTAATGCCTTTTCATAAACTTACCTTTCAACTACAATTTTTCGTGCTATAATAGATTTTAGCTAAATATAAACTACTTAGTTTTCAACAAAAACCTTATTCAATAGTAAATTTCAAATAGTTTAAACATAATTTGAATAGGAACTTATATCTTTTTTACCATCTGTAAAACTGACGAAGTGGCAACCATCTAAAGAAGGAGAAATCAGCTGACACGGAAAAATCTAAATTCCGCAGATTTCTGCGCTACGGGCTACAACTACAGAAAAAATCTGCGGTGTTGAGTTTTCATTTACATGGCGCTTTGGTTAGACAGATCGTGTCAGCTGACTCGGGTTTACGTACCGGTAGGTTTACGTTCTTGACTAATTTCAGCTTAAGTATGGCAAAAAAATCAAAAATAATGGAAGTATTTTGAATTACAACAATAATTTACATATTTATTTTGCAAATAGTAGCATTTTGCAAAAAGTGCAGCCGTTGCAAGTAAGTTTTGCATGCTAGTATCCCTGTATCCATCCACGTATGGTAGTACAAATATTAATAAATATATTCTCTTGTGAAGCTCAGGATCATTTGGGTGTCCGTCCAAGTTTGCTGGTGCATATATTTTTACCCCTGCAGCCTTTGAGTTGGTCAAGTGCAGCCTTTGCATATTTACAAGTAAGTATACCACTCCATAAAAGCGAAAGTGGAAATATTAATAAAGGTATATTCTTGTGCTGATTGTGACTGATTGCAGAAAAAAGTACACAACATTACAAAAAATTGAAGACATATTTTTAAAGTTTAACCGATATAATGATTAACAAGGCTGATTGGAGAAAAAAGTAAAAACCATTCCACAAAAATTAGATTTTTAAAAAACCAAATGTAATTAAATTGCGATACTGAAGGTCTAACTTTTAAATGTAACCAATATAATGATTAGCAAGACTGATTGGAGAAAAAAGTAAAAAACATTACTAAAAAATTTAAATTAAAAAGAAAACCAAATGTAATTCAATTTAAGATATTGAACATGCAATCTTTAAATGCAACAAATATAATACTTTTTAAAAGATGAATTTATATGCATTAAATCAATTGCATCTTTACCATTTGTATAATTCTTCATAAAGTGCCTTTGAATAAAGGATTTGTTTGAATTCCATTAATTTTGTTAAATATATACTGGAATATCAATGAAACCATGGTTTATTTTGAATATTTGGGAATATTTCTTCAAAGACTTCAAAGATTTTTTTTTGGCAAGAATTTTATGTGAATATCCATTTATTTCATTTTTAATATTTATGTGGCCATAAAAAATTAATTCATTGTCTATTGTGTAGATAAGTGGAATCATCTTTATATATTTAATTCAATTTGTATACAAAAACGCATTTCAGCACTACCAGACTACTTACTTTTCCTACTACCTTTACACAAGAGGATAAAATTGTGACCCGCTTCTCTTCCTTCTTAAATGCAACCTTACAAGGCAGTCGATTGACACAAATGTCAATATTTATCCAACCTTGCATGATAAAAACATTACAAGGTAAATTCATTCTCTCAATTCGTCGGCCATGATTTTTTTCTGACGTTTGCCAACATTTTAAAATCATATAAAATTGAAAATAAAAAAATTAAATTGTTCACAATTGTTGTTGTTTGAGATTGAAAATGAGAATGTGTGTGTGAGTTTGAGTTTTGATTTTAAAATTATATTGTTGGCAAACGTCAGACTGCCTCTCAATGGTTTTACCTTGTTATGTTTTTATCATGCAACCTTGTATTATTGAATCATGCTGATCTTCAAAAATTTGTATATGCAAAGCAGCTTCTTTCAGGTGCAGCTAAGCTATTTGTAAGAAGCCAGACTTGTGCAGTAAATTGGGAAAAATTGAAGGAAGTTTTAATTGAAGAGTTTGGGCGAAGGTGTCTGCAGCGGATATTCACAAAATGTTGCAGAAACGTAGAAAATATCCAAAAGAAACCCTTATCGAATATTTGTATGCATTAATGGATATAGGCAGGAAAATTAAAGTGGNCACAAAATGTTGCAGAAACGTAGAAAATATCCAAAAGAAACCCTTATCGAGTATTTGTATGCATTAATGGATATAGGCAGGAAAATTAAAGTGGATGAAGCAAGTCTAATAGAATATTTTATTGATGGTATCGATGATTATAAAAATAATAAGGCTATACTTTATCAAGCAAAAATCATAAATGAATTGAAGTTGCAAATAAAGGTGTATGAGAAAGTAAAAGAGGGTAAGCCACAATTTGCAAAAACGAACGAGTATAGTCACAAGGATACAAAAACAGATGAAACTAAAACACAGGACAAAGCCTGTTTTAAATGTGGGAGTACCTCACATTTGGCGAAAACGTGTAGGGTTACAAACATAAAATGCTTTAAGTGTAACCAGTTGGGTCATAAGTCCAATGAATGTAAAGAAAAATCTGCAGTAAAAAAAGAACGTGGTGCAGTTAACACATTGAATGATAAGAATCATATTAAATTTAAAGACGTTGAATGGTGTGATAGTAATCGTAAATTTTCAGCGTTAGTAAACACTGGCTGTAGTTATTGTTTAATACGATATGATACGTTGCTAGAAAGTAAAATTCAGTTGATTTTGAAAGATAATAAAAAGAAGTTATTCGGCGTTGGTGAGGGTGTGATAGTCGCAAAAGGTTGTTTTGATACTAATGTATTAATTGATAATGTGGAACTGAATTCACGTAGTAGGAGAAAGTGATATGAACTTTGAGGCCATTATTGGAGCTTATGTATTAGAAGTGGCGGACCTGACAATAACATCGGAAGATGCTATATTTAAAAAACGAGAATCATACGTTGAAAATGATTACAAAAAAGTAGTGGAAAATATTAAAGGTGAATGTGGTAAACAGCTCAGTTATGTAAAAAGAGAGGGAAATGACGAAGAACAAGATGATGGAATTTCTACATGGATGCGTGATTTTAACGCGGTATGTACATTGCAAGATGAGATGGAGATTGATGTATCACTATTACATATTTCTGATAATCTCGCCAAAGATGTCAGATGCTTGGTCAGAGAATATTGTCCGGTTAAGAATTTTAAGTCTCCAGTAGAAATGAAATTAATTTTGAAAGATGATATACTTGTATATCATTCTCCTAGGCGTTTGTCGTATGAAAACCAGAAAGTGGTGGCCCATCAGATTGATGAATGGTTAAGGCAAGGTATTATTCGACAAAGTTCTTCGGAGTATGCGGCGCCTATAGTACTAGGATCGAAAAAAGATGGGAGTAAACGCTTATGCTGTGATAATTTTCCAATGGCGTTAGTTGACGTCGTAGTTGATAGATTGCAAGAGGCCAAAGTTTTAACCACTTGGGATTTGCGTAATGACTATTTTCATGTACCTGTAAACGAAGACTCAAAAAAATTTACATAATTTGTAACACAGCAAGGACAGTTTGAATTTAATTTTGTACCCTTTGGTATATCAAACGCACCATCGGTTTTTTGCAGGTACATCAATGCCGTATTAAGGGAATTAATTAAAAATAAGACCATCATTGTTTACATGGATGATGTAATAATTCCGTCCGAAACCGAGGCTGAAGGCCTTGATAAGCTTCGGATAGTTTTAAAAGTCGAGACGGAGAGTGGTTTGAATATCAAATGGTCGAAATGCAAGGGGTTAAGCAGACAAATAGAATTTTTAGGATATATTGTAGAAAACGGAACAATATTGCCTTCAGCAGGAAAAACAAAAGCTATTAAAGATGTTCCTTTACCAGGAGATAAGAAATGTGTGCAAAGGTTTTTAGGATTGATATCATATTTTCGTAGATTTGTCGAAAATTACGCCTTAGTAGCTAAACCTTTAACTGATTTACTACGTCAGGATTCAAAATTTGTTATGAGCTCGGAACACTTTGACGACAGCAAGCGACAAGCAGCATCTGTCAAATTTTAAATACACACGTTCTTACGGACACAATTATTTTGACGACAGCACGACATCTTGGCTGCAGGACTGCAATTGTCGACGTCGCCAAATTAAATCTANATTGTTCATGTTTTTCTTATTTACTTAAATAAAAATACACAATTTGTGAAATAAATATACCAAAATGTCAAACTTTAAAATCAGCTGTTTGCTATGTCGCTGAGGTCTTCAAAATGTTTAAGAAGCTGGCTTCAAGGCGACATTTGTCGACAAAATGATGTCGCTGTCGTTACGGCGTGAAGTTGCAGTTTCAAAGTGTTCCGAGCTTTAGTTAGAGCTCCGGTACTTAAGTTGTTTAATCCAAAAGCTATGACTGAAATTCATGCAGACGCATGCAAGTATGGATATGGTGCAGTTTTGCTCCAAAAAGACAGTGACGATCAGCTGATGCATCCTCTACAGTTCTTGAGTAGAAAAACTACTCTAATGGAACAAAGATACCACTCATACGAACTGGAAGTTTTGGCCATAATGGAAGCAATTCAAAAATGGAGAAGGTACGTATTGGGAATACCATTTAAAATTGTCACTGATTGTAATGCCTTTACAATGACAATGCGGAAAAAAGATGTACCACCAGAGTTGCTAGGTGGGCGTTATTTTTACAAGACTTTAATTTTACTTTGGAGCACAGGGCAGGGACTAAGATGCGTCATGTGGACGCTCTAAACCGGGTATATTGTTTGACTTTGGAGGATAGCTTAAGACATAGACTCCGTGAAGCTCAGTTGGCAGATAGTTGGGTGGCAGCAATACGTAAGGTATTAGAGAAAGACAACTACGAAGATTATTTTATTAAACACGATATATTGTTCAAAAATCCAACGAAGGAACTCATTGTCGTTCCAGAATCAATGGAAGAAGAGATTATAAAAATTGCTCATAATCAGGGACATTTTTCGACGCAAAAGACGCAAGAGTGTGTTGAAAAGGATTTTTACTACCAAAGATTAGAGAAAAGGTTGGACGGATAGTTAATAGCTGCATAACTTGCTATTATTACTAATGCTAAAGCAGGGAAAAAAGAGGGGTTTCTCAACCCCATTGATAAAGAAGATCGTCCTCTTGGGACGTATCATATAGATCACGTTGGACCAATGCATGAAACAAATAAAAACTATTCATATATTTTAGTTGTCGTAGATTCATTCTCAAAGTTTACTTGGTTATACCCAACAAAAACAACAAGTGCTGGGTTCGTGATTGAGAAGTTGGCAAAACAAGCAGCGATTTTTGGCAATCCCAAAAGAATAATTTCCGACAGGGGGGGTGCATTCATTTCAGATGCTTTTAAGAAATACTGCACTGAGTGTAATATACAACATTTAATGATCGCGACGGGGGTGCCTAGGGGAAATGGTCAGGTGGAGAGGATGCATCGCATCGTGGTACCTATTCTTGCTAAGCTTAGTCAAGAAAACCCACAGAATTGGTACAAATACCTTGATAGAGTGCAGCAGGTCATTAACTCAACACCCCCGCGTACAACAAAAATCAGCCCATTTAAATTGCTTACTGGCTGTGAGATGAGAGTGAATGATTTGTCAGAAATACGCGACTTAGTAAGAGAAGCAGATGTGCGTGAGTTTACGGGCGAAAGAGAGGAACTAAGAAAAATTGCTCAAGCAAATATACAAAAAATACAGCACGAAAATAAAAGAACTTTCAAAAGGCAAAGAAAACCGGAAGCTAGGTACAAAGTGAATGATTTAGTGGCCATATTGAGAACACAATATGGTACAAAAATGAAATTAAAGCCGAAATTTTTAGGCCCCTATAAAATCCTTAAGTGTCTTAACTACGGGCGGTACGAGGTTGAGCGAGTGGGTGAGCACGAAGGACCGAAAAAAACAATCAGCATTGCTGAAAATATGAAGCTGTGGTCTCAATAATTCGAGGCCGAATGATTTATAGGATGGCCGAATGTGGGAGCACAGACTTGACTTACTTAAACATACTCATTAACAGACTTAACTTACTTACTTAAATATGCACGTCTAGGATAGAATACGACTCTGGGTCCAATGCGACCCTGAATTAAACGACGCTAACTTACTGAAAAATGCAACTCTACAAATAGAAATAACGGAGTTACAGTTACTTTCTAGAAGTAAGCGAATGTACAGCTTAGAATATATCGCTAAATATCATTTTTAAAAATAAGTAACTTTTGTGCCACTAAGTACTTTAATTTATAAATATTAAACATTTTATCAATAAACACTGTCGTTTGTGCCACTAAGTACTAGTGTTTTATTCGGCATCCTACACACATACATACATACACGCATTTTTACTTGAAAATAAGTGTGCAGTGGTTAATATGTATACGATACCATCTCCGTACAGCTCACTTCACCTCGCCAAGCACGCTCGCTTGCGCGCAGTTTGCCCGCGACGTCGACTGCGTGCACCTCTGCTGTGCATCCCTAGACTACACGATCAGCCATTTATTTAGTGTGCTGATTTTGCTATCGTTGTTTTTATTACAGTTATTTTCATATGCGTAACTTTAAAAATAAGTGATGTGGAGTAGAGCTGTCAAACTATCGATAGTCAAGTCCATCGATGTTTTACGATAGTCTTAAGGGTGACTATCGATACTATCGATAGTATCGACCCATTTCATATGTTTTTCTAAATCCATTTATTTTTCGTTATCTTGTTTTTATAAATTTGTTTATTTTAGCGGCTCACGGTTGCATTTTAGTATTGAGAAATATTGCTAGAAATTCATTCGCCGTGTAAACAGTCAAGGAGCGAAAGACACTTTACATACATACATGCAAGGTGCCACTGCTCATGCAACTGCTTTCTGAAATTTCTCAATCTGACAGTCTTTTGAAATATACTGCATCGCCCGGTCTGACACGCTCTTAAGACGGCAATGTAACCTCTGCTATTCCCCCGCTTAAAATAAAAAATTGCGCTTTTAGAAATAATACGTTCATTCCTTATCTTTTTTGACTAAAATCTGAAAAGTGTCAAAATGTCAGAGCGTAAGCAAAATGCACTCACTAAAAGAGAATAACAGGAAAAAGTTAATGAACGCAAAATCCAAATTTTTAGTCCAAAGAATGGCAACAACAAAACTAACGTCAAACAAGAATAGAAATGTATGTACAAAACACATTCACTCAAGCACAAGCACAATATTGGCACTTGCTATATCAATTATTTTTTTGCTTCCTTCCAATTTCAATTAATTTTTTTACTTTTTACATTATTCTCACTTTTCGCGTATTATTTAATTTCCGTTAATTTAAATTCAGTTGAGTTTGACACTTTTCAAGATTTTGCCAGCAAAAATTCTTCTGACTAAATCTGACTACTTCGGACTGAAGAGAGTCATTCTCACTGAGTGTTGCTCTCTCATTTTTGCTGTTATTTTAGAGTTAAGGAACGCTTTTTGGACTAAATCTGACTACTTCGGACTTTTTCTGGCTATTTCTGGGAGATAAGGAACGCAACTAATGCCATGAACCAACTAAACTGATCACCCAGCGCGGCAACCGCGTATTTAAAATTGCATTTGAGAAAAAAATAATAGTTGATAACGTCATTTTTAATCGGTTGTTTCTCTCACACACATGGTTTCATTCCGTGGCGAAAAAATGACGTCACTGTGAAAAACATACTTTTCTCTCGCACAACGTCCTGGGTGATCTTTATTTTATTCGTTCGTTCATGAAATAATGCTGCAATGTTTTGTTGAACCAATACGTGCAAATGTCAAAAGCGCTAGGAAAGAGAATACGCTATCAATGAAACGATAGTGGCGATAGTACTAAAACTATCGATAGTTATTTCAAGTGACCAGACCATCGATACTATCGATAGTATCGTCGATAGTTTGACAGCTCTAATGTGGAGAGTAAAGAACTTCAGCAAAAAAATTGGTTTTGGACGAATTCATGCAAAATCCACACATCTCCCAAAGTCGGTTAGTAAAATTGCTGAAAATTGGAAGGTCGACGGTTCAAAATGTATTTTCAAATAACAAGAAAAATTGCAGCATTGAGAGAAAGGCGGAATCTGGCGGAAAATCAGGCAGTATAAATAAAATAGCGGAGAAGGATGTTCTAAGGACTTTGAAAAGGAATCCGAATATTTCTGAACGTGTTTTTGCACCTGGAGTGTTGTTCTGAGAGCCTGTATTGTTTTGGCCTGATTTGGCAACAAGCCATTGTGTAAAAAAGCGCAAGAGTTTTATACACCAAATGGAATCAACATTGCCCAGAGCTGCAGGCCCATATGAAATCAAAAAATGCACGACTTCCAGAATAACGCAGTTCTGCAGAATGTGGCGAAAATAGGCTGAATCGATCAACGAAAGGGATGTCCCAGTATTAATGGCGGGTGTCATCTCTAAAGTACAGGTATTTTGGCGTTAATTCTAATACTTAATATTTGTAAATCTTTCATTTAAATAATTTAGTATTTTTCCGAGCATACCGATACAACTAGCACTTGACGTAATACAAGAAAAATGGACAATAATAAAAGAACACACTACGATACCAAAACAATTTTTTATGGAAATAGTAACATTTTGCATTCAATAAAATAGATACTTTAAATTTAACGACACGATATATACCCAGTTAAAAGGAATGCCAATGGGATCCCCTGCGTCACCTGTCATTGCAGATATTATAATGGAAAAGTTGTTGGATAACAGGATTAAAAAATTAGGACGACCACCAAGATTACTAACGAAATATGTGGATGATTTATTTGCCATAGTAAATGAAAATGAGGTACAAAACACACTTGACGCACTGAATTCTTTTCACAGGAATATAAAATTCACAACAGAATTAGAGGACAACGGAAAATTAGCTTATCTAGACTCCAAAATAATCAGACAAGGAAATCAATTAAAGTTAAGGTGGTATAAGAAACCAACATCATCAAGACGAATCATCAATTTTAATTCTAAACACCCCAAATCGATGATAATCAATGCAGCAATGGGCTGTATACGACGAATGTTGGAGATATTGCACGAAACTTACCACAAAGAGATGGAGAAAGAGATTAAAAAACAATGATTTCCCGGATAATTTCGTAAGCACATTATTAAAAAGATCTAAATTGCAATTCAGTAAACAATCAGAAAATCCTACAATATTCAAATCAGTAACTTATGTCCTTCATCTGTCAGAACGCCTGGCTAAATCGGATTTCTACAACAAAGATAAAGTAAAAATAGCCCACAAACCTACAAATACAATAAAAAATATATTTAATAAAACAAAGTCAAAAACACCCAAATTGGAAAAAAGTAATGTTATTTATAAAATCCCTTGTAATGGTAAAAACAACGAGTCATGTAACAGCCTATATGTAGGAACCACAAAATCAAAATTAAAAACTAGATTAGCACAACACAAATCGGACTTAAAACAATGTCAGCTTACAAATATCAAAAAAACAGCACTCATGGCCCACTATGCAGCTAGCGGCCACTCACCGAATTTCAACGACGCTGAGTCTACAACAAGAACAACACTACAATAAGCGCTTTACTTTAGAAATGTTACATATAATAAACACACCGGCAAACATAAGACTGAACTACAAAACGGAGCGGAAACTGCGCTCACATGTACAGACACTTGCTTACAAACAAATCGACAGTAGTAGGCTTGGGTAACGGCGCAATTTTTTTGGCGCTGACACACTAACTCCAGCGCCACTGTCGGAATCAGCACAGTGTGTTGGCGCAACGGCGCCTCTTCAGACTAAAGCTCATTTCGGCTGACTTCCAAAACGTCAATTGCATTGCATACGTACAAAGTTTAATGTTCCATAACGCCGAACTACAATTGGTTGACAATGTACACTTTTCCAAAACCCTCCGAAAAGTTATCGAAACGCATTGCTAGCGCAGTCAGCGCATCAGAAACAAAGTTGATGCTTCGTTTGTTATTGGTTACCATTGGTGTTTTAAAAATGCAAAATTCCGAAATGGTGATTATTGTTTTATTAAATATTCCAAATATGCAATGTATATGGTTGCAATGTTTCGCTACTCTGCATATGCAAAGAGTTTAAATACCGCAGTAGAACAGTATCCAAACATTGTATTTGTACGTTTTGGAAGTCAGCCTTCCTTTATTGCTGCACGCTGCACCAAAGTGAATTAAGCGTAAGTTAGCCAAGACTTAAGGCTCCGTTATGCATACTTGGCATGGCTTGAGAGCTGTCACATAAGAAATCTGTTAAATGAGCCTCGCGTGTAATCGGTTATCGAACTCACAGCACTACATACGTAGAAGTCTGTTGGTTTTTGATTTCTACGTAAAAATGGTATAGCAGTGCATGCTATGCCAAGTATGCATAACAGAGCCTTTAGACTTAACTTAGTTTTCTTAGAAACGTAGAGATTCTTACTCAGCACGTCATCGCACTTTTGACATTTTCTTCTTCGTTTTGATTTGCGCGTTTTCTTTTGACATTTCGTTTTGTGTCGCTCAAGTTGTTTGAAATTTCATTCCGTTATTTAAATTCTGTGAAAACGCTATTTTGTGTGAATAATTTTAAAACTAAAAAATGACAGAAAAATTAAGATTGTGCAAAATGTTTTTGGATTTAATAAAAATGTACAAAGCATGTAAAATGCGGCGACGTCAACAGAGAATTAGGCGGTGGGGTATCCATCCAATAAACCGGAATTGGTTAAAGAAGGGGTACCACCGTCAAGTGTTCAAAAGAATAAAGGACATGACGGAGGAGCAATTGTTCCAACACACAAGGATGACTCGTTCGGTATACAACTTGTTGCTTACTTTGGTGGCTGATAATTTGCGCAAACCAAGACAACGTATTGGTGTCGAAGAGCGTATTTCGTTGACCCTTTTGTAAGATAATTTAAGGTTTTTTCAATATGTTTGTAAATTAATGCATAATTTTTTTTTTTCATTTTAAAGGCACTTGGGACATGCGGCACCAATCCAAACTCTAGCCTGGAGCTATAAGCTGGGTAGGACAACAGTGCGTAACATCATTCTGGAAACTTGCGACGTGTTTTGGCGATTGCTTTCACCTATCTATGTAGCGGAACCCACCGAAGAGCAGTATAAAGATATTGCCAACGATTTTCAAACAATGTGGAACATGCCAAATTGTGTAGGTGCAATTGATGGGAAACACATCGCCTTACAATGCCCTAGGAAGTCCGGTTCGATGTTCTTCAACTACAAGAAATTTCATAGTATAGTCTTAATGGCCGCTTGTGACGCGAAATATACTTTCACGGCCGTTAGTATAGGAAGCTATGGTAGCCAAAGTGATGCAGGCAAGTTATAATAAAATAATTGTCGGCAATCCGAACTTTAATGTTTGCATTTATTTTTTTATTTCACAGGGACATTCCAGGTCTCGGAATTTGGGCAATCGCTAATTTCGAATACTTTGCCATTACCGCTGCGCAGTGGAGCTGAACCCTTTCCTCACTTTTTTGTAGGAGACAATGCGTTTCCTTTGAGGCGAGATATAATGAGGCCATATTCAGGTACCAATTTAAATAGAAGCAAACAAATATTTAACTACAGGCTTTCGCGGGCACGCCGAGTAGTCGAGAATAGTTTTGGAATTTTGAGCGCTCGATGGCGCATTATTCGCCGAACAATGGACTACAGTCCAGATAATTGCGAAAGTATTGTGTTGGGGTGCATTGCTTTGCATAATTTTGTAATGCTAAATGACCAAGAACGTTGGTATTGTCCTAATAATTATGTTGACCGTGAAGGATCAGATAATGTGCTTCACTATGGTGATTGGCGACAGGACCTAAATAGAAGAAATTTAAGTTCAATGACGACTCACGTACGCAGAGGACCGGCGGAAGCCTTTCAGTTAAGAGATGAACTAGCGAATTTTTTCCTTAATGAGGGGGCTGTCTCCTTTCATGGATGATAGAATTAATAACATGTAATTTTTGTATTACAGTGGCATAACGATGTTCTCGGACAAAGAATATTCAACATTGCGGGAAACTACTTATGCATCTTTCAAATAATTTCCCTTTCACCGATTATATATAAAAGTATAGCTGATACTCCAAAAAAATCCCAAAAATCATTGTTCCAAACTTTGTGCAAAATTTAAACAAATTCGGCAAATTTTTTCCTAAAATTTTCCACGTTTTCATAAATTTTTTTTAGAAAAAAATCTAGTAGATATGAAATTAAAAAAAAATTATTGAAAAGTGGAAAATTTTAAGAAAATAGTTTGCAGAATTTGTTTAGATTTTGCACAAAGTTTGGAACCATGATTTTTGGGGTTTTTTTGCAGTATCAGCTATACTTTTATATATAATCGGTGAAAGGGAAATTATTTAAAAGATGCATAAGCAGTTTCCCGCACTGTTGAATATTCTTTGTACGAGAACATCGTTGTGCCACAGTATATTTCGATATACGTATGTACACACACTGCAATAAAACAGAAAATGTAATTGTTATACAAATTTACAAGCGTTTTAATTCAAATATTCGTTTCAATAAATACATTTCAGCTCGCATGAAATTAAAATAATATTCCAAAACCATGATAAAAATATAGGAAGGTAGAACCGCTGAGAGGAATTTTTCAAATTCTTGACGTTTGCAAGCAATTTAATTTTAAAAGTTTACACACAAACTCACACACACATTCTCATTTTCAATCTCAAACAACAAAAACAATGAACAATTTCTTTTTTTTACTCTCAATTTTATTTTTTTTTTTAAATGCTGGCAAACTTAGAAAAAAAATCATGGCCGACGAATTGAGAGAACGGTTTTACCTTACTAGGTTTTCATCATGTTCCAAAACAAACGAAATAAAAAATAAGGTAAATAAATAATTTTTCATNTTTTTTTACTCTCAATTTTATTTTTTTTTAAATGCTGGTAAACTTAAAAAAAAATCATGGCCGACGAATTGAGAGAACGGTTGTACCTTACTATGTTTTCATCATGTTCCAAAACAAACGAAATAAAAAATAAGGTAAATAAATAATTTTTCATTAATAGTAAATAAAAAATTAAAAACAGCAACTCACGCTCAGTATTTTTCAGTAATCTTTTTACAATATTCACAGTGTTTTTCATACGAATTTTTTGACTAATTTCTTATAATATATATAGCTCATTATCTAACAAAAACCATTACATCCAAATTTNGTGTTTTTCATACGAATTTTTTGGCTAATTTCTTATAATATATATAGCTCATTATCTAACAAAAACCATTACATCCAAATTTCAAACTTTGTAAAAATTAGAAAAGCTCACCGAATTTTCATGGAAATTTCAAAGTTTTTATTCACGATTTATAGAGGATTCCCATTTAATTTTAGTATAATATAAACCATGTTAGAAGTTGCTACAGAATACCGTTGATTTTTAATAATTTGTTTGTTGACAGTTTCACGTATTTCCTTTCATACAAAGTATGTTCAAAAATTTTTATATATGTAGAAGAAAATGCACAACAGCTGCAGGAAAAAAACCTTCTCAAATGAACGACATTTTTTAGTTACTTCGAAGTTGTACTTTATCATACTAGAATTTACTGCGCTACAAATCTGCATATCATAAACTTTTTTAGAAATTGTTATTAAAATGTTTGCAATTTTGAATAAACTTAATTTAATTTTTAAAATTTTTACACAAAGTTTGAAAGTGAAATTTATATGGTTTTGGTTAGATAATGAGCTTTACTTTTCTCTATGAATTGTCTATGAAAAACACTGCGACTGTTGTAAAAAGACCACTGTACAAAGGTGACTCACTGTAAATAAATTAATTGAATATTAAAAATTTTAATTTTAAATTGATTATAAGATTAACTTTCTGCCTCTTCTTCGCGCTGTAACGCCATCACGACCGCTGTCACTCGCTCCATTGCTAGACTTTGTTTTACAGAACTCATTTTGGCAATTGTAGCCAGTGGTGCCAGATTGAGGGAAATTTCCCTATTTGAGGGATATTTTGCATCAAAATTTATTAAAAGGGAAAAAAGGGACATTTCATATAAATAAGGGATTTTCTTTTGACGCAGTTATTGTTGCATAATTGATCAAAATTCACGAATATTCGACATTCGACTTAATTAATCGTTCTGAAGATGTGATGTGAAGTGAAATGGTATATAATTGTTAAAAAGTATAAGGATAATTTCGAAAATTTTCTTACGTTAACCAATTCAAGCGCTGAGTAAGAAAGAATCTTTTCAGTTGTAACTGGTATTTCATGTAAAAAGCGGAACAAATTATCTGATGAAATGTTAAATAGCAGTGAGTGAGCAAAAAAAGTGAAAAAAATGCAGGAAAAGGGGTTCTTTCTTAACAGCGGTCGGCCCTCGGCAGGCAATGGCAAACCTCCGAGTGTATTCCTGCCATGAAGAAAAAGAGGAAGCATCGAACAAAAGGCAGTATTGCCAAGTTTTGAATTTCAAAAAGCACCAAATTTTTATTGGTATATTTTATGGACTTTATATACACACATATTTTTATTGTAAGGATTCAGAATCAAATTAATAAAAATCAATGTTTCTTGCACGACGGTCGATTTCTTCTGGCATGATTGAAGGTGCTGCACATATTTCGTTGTCGCTTATGATTGTCACTGTGCCATGATTTGTTAAAATTTTTGTAAAGTTGCTTACCACACTTACGATTGCTATAAATTTTGCTTCCATTTTCTTAAGATTTTCTAATTTGGTGTCTTCAAACTAAAAACAAAAGCACCAAGCACCAAACTCAAAAATTTTCGCGTTTTGAATGCCCACTAAATTTGGAGCGAAAAGCATCCAGTTGGCAACAGTGAATGTAAACAAAAGTATTTTATGACGTCAGCGATTGGGTGGATGCTGTCAAATCGACGAAGAGAGGGTTAGCGGTCCGCGAATGGCGCGACCTTTATTTTCTGGATCGTGGATGGTAGGGATATGAACAGCTCCGAGCTCGGCTGTGAGGTTGATGCTAACGGCGTGTGCAATGGAGAAGTAAACAGTTGGGAGGAGTTACTGGCCTGCTGTGGAGATGCTGGTGGAAGTTGTAATGCCTCCAGAATGTTTTTAGAAGTTCGGCACCTACAACAAAATTATTTGCAATAAATATAGTTACATATTTTAACTACTACAACAATTTCAACATGGCCAACTTACGGACGCGGTATTACAGAATTTCGCAAAAAGCAAAGGGATTCCATCAATGACCAAGCTTTTTCCCTGTGTGCCTCACTTCCTGACGGTGCGTTTTGCTGGCCCAGTTCCCTGGAATACCGCTCGCGAATCGCCAACCACCTTTTAGCACATTGCTCGCCTTTAAATAGTAAATCGCTAATGCAACTTAATTTAATTTAAAGCATTAGTACATATGTACCTGTTCGATTTAGCTGTTCGCCTATGTGCCTCCAAATTTGCCTTTTGTGTTCCGCTAACTTGTAGTTTGGGGAAAATTTGTCGTATAATTCATTATGCGACTGCACCAGCAATATCAATTTTTCGTCGTCCATGTTTAAAATGTTTATTTTGTTTATTTGGTTTGCTTTGTTTTTATTTTTAACAGTTCGCTTTGACCCGTTGCCATGCCGTTGCCATATGTTTTATATTTGTCCGAAAAAACGTTTTTACATCATAATTTCGGAAAGTTTAAATTTGAACAAAGCAAAAAATTGATATGGCAGCCTGGCTCTCTCAATTTACGTAAAAACAAAACTTAGGAATCTAAATTCTACAGCTCTCTAAGATTCCTAAGACAAGTTGAGTTTTGGCTAACCAGAAACACGTATTACTGGTATGGTAGGTAGGTCTAAGTTGAGTTAAATAGTGTCGTAAGTCTTGGCTAACTTACGCTTTAATACAAGGTTATATCGGTTGAGAAAAAACTCAAGTACACCCGAGTTCAAAACCCAAAAATACAACAAACCCATCATTTTCACATTCAGAAGGACCGCGACGAATTCTAGCAACACCACCTTGTATAAATTCGCCTTGTACTGCACATTTTACAAGAGACCTTTCTATTTCGGGTGTTCTTTGCTCGTTCTTTGCGACACCCGGTGTTGTCAAGAGTTCCGGTATTGAACTAAGGTGAATTAATACAAGGTGGTATCGGTTGGGCAAAAACAACTCAAGTATACCCAAGTTCAAATCCCAAAAATACAACCAACACATAATTTTCACATTCAGAAGGACCGCGGGTAATTTTAGCAACACCACCTTGTAAAAATTCGCCTTGTGCTGCACATTTTACAAATGACACTTCGCTTTTGTGTGTTCTTTGCTGGTTCTTTGCGCCGCCCGGTGTTGTCAGTGTTCCGGTGTTGCTGCCGCCATTGCGTCACTGAGTTGTGACAATCGGTATCGGCGCCAGTAACTCAGCTCTCGGTATCAGCTCAATGGCGCGGCGCCGCACTGTGTTACCCACGGCTAGACAGTACCAAACTCCACGTCAAACAGTGAGGACGTGTAAATTAATGTATGTATACATTTTGTTTTTAATTATTGTTTTTGGAATTTGTATTTACGTATATTTTATGTTTTACATGTTTGTCAATAGTTGCCCTAAAGACGGCGTAATCGAAATATATCGGAAAGAAACATCAAGAAAACTTGTGTTTTCATTAACAATTTTTAAAAATTGACCTCGAGCCGGCAAAATACTAAATTATAAGTAGAAAGGTCGCTAAAACCATCAGTATTTCATTTAAATAGAAATAAAAGAAAGTTCTAAAAAAGTTTCGACAAAATTATTCACATTAAGATTAGTTTTTTTTTGCTATTTCATACCTACCAGATTTCAAAGATCTTATATGTTCGAGTACTGAACCATGAACACTTCCAGAGATATGCAGTATGAAAAATTCGGGTTATTTGAGTAGAGAAGAGTGCTTGACTACAATGAACACATCCAGAAATATGCAGTATGAAAAAGTCGATTTGTATGAGAGTTGCCACACCCCTTTTCCAGTAACATCAATTTTTTCATGAGTATGCGATTAATTTCGTATCGGAAGTGCCGCGCCTCCTTCTCCGGTAGCTACAATTTTTCTCCAAGAGTATGCGATTGATTTCATATATTCAAAATAAGTGTTTTACAAATCGGTCAAGCCGTTTCGGAGGAGTTGACCACAAACACCGTGACATACGATTTTATTCGAATGGTGGCAACCCTATACAAATTTTTTTTCTGTTTCAAATGTTTTCATTCATTCGCAGTGAAATAGCATTATTGAAGCTTATTTCAATTAAATTTTTTTTGATAATTTAGATCTCTGAAAACACCGGTTTTTAAATTTTTTTACAAACTTTTTACAGACAGAGAGAAACAAAATGAAATAAAAACGAAACAAATCCGTTGAGCCGTTTTTGAGTTATGTGATAACAAACGAACAGCAATTCACTTTTATATGTAAAATTTTTTTTCGAGCGGTGGCAACCCTATTCAATTTTTTTCTTTTATTAAATTTTTATTTTCATTCTCAGTAAGGTACATTATTTCGGCTTATGTAAATTTAATTTTTTTTTGTTATTTGAAATATGTGGCAACACCGGTTTTCAAATTTTTCTTTACATTCATTTTACAGACAGAAAAACATAAAATGAAATAAAAGTCAAGCAAATCCCTTGAGCCGTTCTTGAGTTATGCGATAACACACGAAAGCAATCCATTTTTCCATATAAATTTTTTTCGAATGGTGGCAACCCTACTGAAATTTTTTTCTGAATTATTTTTTTTTTTTACATTTTCAGTGAGATAGCATTATTGCGGCTCATTTATAATTAATTTTTTTATCTGGCATTATCATTTTTCCAATTTTCCCCTTACGAACCTTCTACAGACAGAAAGAAATAAAATGTAATAAAAACGAAGCAAATCCGTTGAGCCGTTCTTCAGTAATGCGATAACACATGAAAGCAATCCATTTTTATACCCGAGCGCACTTGTGCACAAGGGTATATTAATTTTGTTCACATAACGGTTGTTTGTAACAGCCAAAACGAATCGAGATAGATATAGACAAATGTATACATAAATGATCAGGATGAAAAAAGAAATCGATTAAGCCATGTCTGTCTGTCTGTCCGTCTGTCCGTCTGTCCGTCCGTCCGTGTACACGATAACTCGAGCAAAAATTGAGATATCTCAACGAAATTTGGTATGTAGGTTTCCCTTAATCCAAGGTAGGTTGGTATTGAAAATGGGCGAAATCGGACTGTAACCACGCCCACTTCCCATATAACGGTAATTTCCAGAAATACGAAAACTGCGATATTTTAGTAACTACTGAAGATTATTCACTCAAAATTGATATTTACAATAATTTTTAGACGAAAAATAAGAATATTATAAATTTTTGGAAAATGGGCGTAGCCACGCCCACTTATGGTTACATGTGTATATCTTGGTAACCGCTGCACCAATTTCTTCCAAACTTGGCACAGTTGTTGGCCTTCGCATAACATACCAAATGGCCGAAAATTTTTAAAATCGCTCAATAACCACGCCTACTTCCCATATAACGGTAATTTTCAGAAATACGAAAACTGCGATATTTTAGTAACTACTGAAGATTATTCACTCAAAATTGATATTTACAATAATTTTTAGACGAAAAATAAGAATATTATAAATTTTTGGAAAATGGGCGTAGCCACGCCCACTTATGGTTACATGTGTATATCTTGGTAACCGCTGCACCAATTTCTTCCAAACTTGGCACAGTTGTTGGCCTTGATACAGCATACTAAATGGCCGAAAATTTTAAAAATCGGACAATAACCACGCCCACATCCCATATAACGGTAATTTAGAGAAATACAAAATCTTCGATAAATCAGTAAATATTAAAGCTAATTTATTCAAAATTGATGCTTGCAACAATTATTTACCAAGATATAAGTTTATGGTAAAATTTTGGAAAATGGGCGTGGCACCGCCCACTTATGATCACATATATGTATATCGGTAACCGTTCTACCAATTTGTACCAAACTCGGTATTTTTATTGTGCTTGCCAAATAAAAGCAAAACGTTGAAAATTATTGAAATCGGACTAAAATTACGGCCGCTTTTTATATAACGGTAAATTTCAGAAATGCTTGAAACTTCAATAATTCGAAATTTAAGGACGCTAATTTACTCAAAATTGATACACCCCGGCTTACCATCTAGCGCTAGCTTTCGGAAAGGTGGAAAACATATATTTAATATTTCCGCCGGGTGTTTAATGTTCGGCTCCGCCCGAACTTAGACTTTCTTACTTGTTATATATAAACTTTTTTTCAAATGGTGGCAACACCATCCAAATTTGTTTCCGAATTAATTTTTTTATGCGTTCTCAGTGAAATAGCATTATTGCGGCTTTTTTATAATAAATTTTTTTTTTTGATATTGCAGATATCTGGCAACACCACTTTTCCAATTTTCTCTTTACAAACCTACTACAGACAGAAAGACACAAAATGAAATAAAAACGAAGCAAATCCGTTGAGCCGTTCTTGAAAGATGCGACACTAACACGAACGGCAATTCATTTTAATATATAAAGATATGCCCCTTTTTACCTTTGACTACTAAATTAAAATACTACACTATAGTCTGGCAGCTGCTATTTGCTGGCCTAATGCCATTTTTTAATGTATTAAAGTATTTTTTGTGCCTTCACTAAACTAATTCTCCAGAGTAAAAAAGTACATACCTACTCATTATTTTCATAAAAAGTTTTCCCATTGAGATATCAGCTGTTACAGTTGACATTTCTACTAAAAGTTTACAAATTTATTTCTTTCGTAGTCAGTATTCTTGTAGTTCGAAATCGTTTAAGTCTTCGAATGAGAAAGATACTTCAAAAAAGAGAATGGAAATGAATATTTGTGTGATAACCAAAAAAGAGAACCAACATATAAGTAGCTTGCTAAATAAAGTAAAACTCATTTTCAAAATGGACTCTAATTCGGGTAATAATATTCCACTTTAAGTAGAGCTATAAATAAAAGTATAGTTTAAAAAACTAAAACCTCCCTATTATAATTGCCATTCGTACTGTCATCAGGTATTCAGGTATGTAACTTGAGAATAGAAATCGCTGCATCTTTTAGGCGCATCAATATTACATAGTTACATCCCGAGCTAATAAAAGGAAGGTAAAAACTGGTTTCATTTGGCGGTCTTCAAGCTTTGTGGGTAATAAATATGTTCAATTTAGAGTTTGTGGGCTGAGAATCATGTTGCACCTTTTTGCATGTTTTGAATAATAGGCTTTTTTATTAGAAAGGGTACACGTTTGTTTTGCCGTGCTTTTCGATGTTTGAAAAGTAGCAGTCAACAAAGATGCAAAAAACTGCTGTTTTAAACATTTTTCTGCGAAATATTATTAGACGGAGCACATCCGAAGAATATTACAATTATATAAAGGAAATAGCAAGAATGATATGTAAGTACGTAGGTGAAAAATGCTTTCTTGCATTGTTTTGTTTAAACTTGTACGTTACGTTATTTTTTCAACTTTATATCTAGCCTACTATTAGTCATGATACAAAAAAGAAGGTAGTTTCATTGTCACTTTTCGGACGCCATGTTAACTACCTGACAATAAAGCAGATTGTGACATTTTGTGCTGCCATACCTAGTCCTCAATAATCATTTATTTATTGTGAAAAAATTATTTATTTACAAAATTAAAAGAAAATTTGACTTCGATCATACATAGCCATATTTGAAAAGCAACCAACCAACTTTTTCTTTAAAACAAAAGACCGCTAAATATGTTGTCCACCGCAAAAATTAGTTATTATTAAATGCATTTATTCTAAAGCTAATTACCGAAAAGGATTTGGATGTGCTTTACAAACGTTAGCCCCAGTTAGGCTTTAATTTCGGTGCTTCATGATATGAAAGATAATATAGTTATGGACGATTGAACTGGCACCCAGAGTTTGGAAGTAAGTAGTTAGAGGGTAGCCCAATGCCTTAAGAGCAGCTTGTCTGTCACCGCAGACATGTATGTAAACTCATTCCCCTCCACCTATTTTCCACCACGTAGTCCATGGCCTTGAGGATTGCAAATACCTCAGCCTGGAAGGCCGAAGCATACTTCCCAAGAGAGAAGTTAATCTTATCCCCATTAACTCCGATATAGACCCCAGATCCTGACACAGAATCAGTTTTGGAGCCATCAGTGAAGATTCGATTATGTGTGAGTCCGGGCTCAGTGCTGGTATTAAACCAGCATTCAAAGGTACTGGTGGCGTACTATCCTGTGGCATTGAAAACACACAAGTGCTCAGGTCACTGCCGCTAGCAATTTCCGCCTCCCCCACTTAGTGTTATACCGGCATACGTTTCTTTTTAGTCTGCAAGTGGCCTTTAAGGCTTCCCTACTTATGAGTGAAGGTAAGTGCACCAGTGCATCCAGAGCAGCGCCACACCAGGGATGAAAAAGTAGGTACAATTGTACCTTTTTCCGACGTTTGATGACTTAAAGGTACATTAGGTACAGTCACTAGATTTTAGGTACAATCATCTTTTGATCAGATGCATGTTTATTTATTTTTTTCTTTTTCCTTTACCGTGCTAATATATTTACTTGTAGGCATGGGAGAAGCTCCGCTTTCATTTTGCAGAATAAACAATTCTAAAGAAAAGTGGTCAAAAGGAAGAAATTAAAAAAGTAATATTATGTATTATCCTAAACATTTTACATCGAATTTAGAGCAGCCACTACGAAAAATTAACATTTTACTTAGCTATCCGCAAATTCGTATTTTTTTCTATTAATTGTAACTCTTATTTTATACTTATACTTATACTAAGTCAAATTCAATAGTATTTGTGGTTAAATGAGTGAAAACAAATTGTCAAATGGGACTAAAAAATGGTATTTTGATTGATTTAGATCAGAATAGGCCATCAGGCGTGTACATGCGCTAATAAAGCGGCTATTTGTAAGTTTTTGGCCCATATTATCGTCGATAAAGGATATAGGAAAAAAAGCTGTGTCAAAATATGGCGACCAATTTTGTTGTCAAAATATGACATAATGAAAACCAGCCTTTATTCGCCCGTACAGTCCAGTGTCTAGGATGTCTTCAAATTTCATATTTTCTTTAGATGAGAACTATAGCTATTTGACCCATATCCGGTTTTTGATTTCTGGAAATATATTTAAAATGCTTTCGAAGTTACTTACGGCAATTTGATTATTTTCTCTAGTCTTGCTCGGATAAATTAGCAGACTTTTCCTGTTTTTTTATAAAAAGCTGGATAAAGAAGTATACTTCGCAAAGTGTGTTTTTTGTCTTTTTCGCCAATATTTTTCAGTAGTCAAAATTAGACAAAACAACGCTTCTCCGATTCCCATTAGACTATAGTCTATAGATATAGGCTCAGTTAAATCAGTTAAAAAAAAAAACCTAATCATGTTTAAAGTACATCCATCTTTTAAATTCATGTTTTAAATAAAATTTATAAAAAAAAAATACGAATGAATGATGTAAATTTTTATAGGTACAATCTGTTTCATTTAGATACATTTATTTTATGATATTAGGTACAATCTGAAATTTCCATTTTTCATCCCTGCGCCACACGGCAGTAGTTGTTTGAAGTTTTGCAAGCTTACTTCCCACGCTCTTGATTGAGAATCTGCTCCACCATACCACTGCCGCATAGCTAATTATGGGTCTGAGGTATAAAGCCAGAGGATTACCTATGGTGACAGCCCATGTTTTGCCAAAGACCTGTTTACATTGCCAAAATGCTACCAATTCTTTAGAAGTTTTGTGTTCCACGATAGATTTCCACGATAGTTTTGTATACAGAGCTACTTCTAGATACTTCACTTCAGGAGAATTCTGAATTTTGGCTCCTTTAATTGTGAGGGAAATGAGACCATTCAACCTTCTCCGAAGCCTGGTTTCGGACCATGCTTTAATGACGAAATATCTAACAGTTTTGTTATGTAAATACATTTATTTTGTTTAAAATAAAATAAAATAAAGCTTTTTCATAAAATTAGTTATTATAAATGTTTCAAAACTGGATTTTATTTTATTTCTTCATCTCTGCGCATCGATATTATTCAAAGGATCTTTTAAACGCTTGAGAAAAACGTTCAAATTTGATTATCGAACACATCAACTTGCTATTTTTTTACGTAAATTTTACTCTTTTATTGAATTCCAAATATTTAAAAGAAAATCTCTCCTCACAAAAAAATTCAATGTGGCAAAGCTATGCTTAATGTTTACATCTGGAGAAATGTCTAAAATCTGCTTTATAATCAAAAAATAGTAGTAATGAAACTAGCTTCTTTTTTGTATCATGCTATTAGTGATATACTTGTTGTGCTAGTGTCCTTGCAAGTAAATACAAATATAAGCTTATATTTAAGGAAAACAGCTTTTATTGAAGCAGCTGTGATAAGAAAAAAATATATGGCAAAAACTAAAAAAAAGTTTAAACAAAAATTTTTTCCGATAAAATTATATTGGATCCACTATTTTCAATTTCAAATATCTGACCTCATGATTTAAAATCATCGAATTCGAAAACCTCTTTATATATAAGTCTTTGGTGAAAAATAAAATATAAAATTTGATAGCCATATTGGATGCACCATTTTGAACTTAAAAAATTTGCTATCAGATTCGAATTCAGCACCCTCGAAAACTTCCCATTTATATCAGTTTACGCAAAAAAGGAAAAAGTTATAAAATTTGGTCGCCATATTAGATCCGCCATTTTGAATTCCAAAAATCTTACATCAGATTCGAAATCAGCGATCTTGGGAACCCCGCTTATGTATAAGGTTTTGGCCGTGCTGGGTGATCTTGTTAGTTGGTTCATGTAAAAGTAGGTCGCCATATTGCATCCGCCATTTTGAATTTAAAAAGTCTGACAATATATTCGAAATCAGCGACCTCAAACACCCCCAAACACTAAGTTTCAAATCAGTTTGGTTACTTCTTGACTTTTGGCCATCAAATGTTCGCCAGCAGTCGTTCAATGTTGTAATAATTTACAAAATTTTTAAGTAATAAAAATGATGACTTAAGTTGATTATAGCTTTTTTAATATTATTCCTAACATTCACATTCACATTCGCATTCACATTCTCTTTCCGAAAATTCGCATTCGCGTGTTTCTCGTGATTCTCGTGTTAACGAAAACTCACCACCGCATGAAGGTGACGTTGTCGTTGCTTCTCCCTCTCTCTCTCTTTCTCTCTCCATCAACAGCATTTCATATCAAGAATGATAGAATACAAGATTGCGCCGATCGCAGCAGAATTCGTGAGAGTAATTTTGGCGTGACGTCATGGTAGAGTTGACAAGTGAGAGCGGCGAGAACAAGCTGTCCAAATGTCCAATATTTGTAAACAAGTTTTATGTTAGGTTAGGAAAATGTGAGGAAAGTGTGAAAGTTGCGTGGCTTTTGATAGCAAATAGAAAATTTATTTAATTAAACCAAATATTTTATGGCGAAATGAAAAATGGACGCAGAAATATTAGAGTCAGTGAATATATTCCTGGTTGGTATACTATTTTCTGACAAAAACAGCGTTTACAATTGTGTTTGCATATGTCATAAAAATTGAACCGATTGAGGAGGAGTTCCTCAGCGTTATTGTTTATAAAACGAACGGCAAGGTGGAGAAGTCTTGTTTATGCCTCCTTGAATATCAAATCCGGTCGTTATATGCAGTTGCCTGAGCAATTTCACCCGGTTGCCTCAGTAGCGCAACGCAATGAAGCTGGACGGGAAGTGACGCTGGTTGAGTACCTGTCTGGTGTTGTGCATAGGTAAGCATTACGGAAAGGCATTCAATAGTAGCAAAATATGCATACATATGCACGTATTTGCATACTTTTTCTCTTCAACTAGATTCCAATGTTTTTAAAATAACTTTGTACACAGTACGGCATCCGAGCATCCAATGCAGGAAATTATATAACAAATACTTCAAATACTTTAAGAGGAAGTAGAAGTGATCTTTCCACGTATATATCATCAAACACCCACTACACATGAACTCCTATTATGGTAAGTATAATTTAATAAGTTTGCGCACTCAGCCAGTGCTTATAATAAATAAGTTTCACTTTTTCAGTTCATCAACACAATCGGTTGTATTTTCAGATTTTGAAGTAATCACTGGAACCCCATTTTAATCAATGCACACATTGCGCAAGGAGCATGTTCACGTTTAGTGTGATTTGCGGGCCACAGGCTTTAGTACTAGTACATCTAAGGCAGATATTAATTTGAATGGTGATCTTATTAATGCTTCCATGTACGCAGTGCTATGTCAAACATGCAGCTCTGAATATGAAGAGTTTGTTTCGTTCAAATCGGCTAGTAAACCAGAAATAGCCAAGGCATTTACTTATGTCGAAGGCTGTTATGATTTATATTACACCTTGCAGCCTGGAAATCTTTGTTTAAGTGCAGAATCTTTGAAAAAAAAAAAAAAGAAAGGGGCGCGCCTAACAAACAAATCACCACATATGTATGTATAAGAGCAAGTACCAAATTTCACACTGTTCTACTAATTGCTGGGTTCCCACAATCCCACTGGCGCTTCAGGTGTAATATAAGCTATGGTTTTGAGCTTTGGCTTTGTATGCTTGCAGTCAAAGTGGCCGTCAATTTCCGGTAAAATTAACCGAACCGCTGATTGCCATTTTATATATTGGAGAAGATATAAAACACATGGAAGAGCTTCACAAAGCTATACACGTTAAAGCAGTGATCGAAGGTATGTATAAATATGTAGAATCCAAAAAAAAAACTTTAATTTAAACTATTTTAACTTTTTTATGCTAATAGCTCCTGCAAATGAACAACATCGAATTGGGCTACAAAGGCATGGACATCAATTAGGCGGTTTGCCTACACCTTTCTGCGTATGTGTTTGTGCAATAATTGAGCCGTTCAGTGCACACATCGATTAACTCCACTTTTTGAAAAATCTTAGTACATAATACTTATAACATTATTTATTTGATTTTATTATATAAATGGAATTTTAAGAAATAATGTACATTATTTGATCGCACCTCCCAACTTTTTTTGGTGGAGTTTATCAATTTGTGCACTGAACGACTCAATTATAGAATGTCATGCGTTCCCATGTAAATTAATTATTAAGGAATATTGCGAACCATTGCAATAGTTAAGATATCGTTATAATAAACGATTGTAGGATATACATATATTTATATTTAAGTTTATTTTTAGGTAAAAGTATTTTAATGTTTTAATGTTAATTTTTCAAATATTCTAGATAAAAATTTTAAAAGTTCGATTATGTTTTTAGTGCTAAATATTTGACCATAGCTGTAATTTCGGCAACAAAATTAAAAATGTTTCTTTTTGTAAAGACCATTTTCATATCTTTGTTAAAAATTTGGCGGCCCTGAAAAGGGCCTATTTTTGGAAGATGTTGGTTGAGGAGTTCTGCCGATTGTAATGCAAACGTGGGCCTTTTTTGGTAACATCTAGTGGATTATCTCGATAGGACCAAACTCTTGAAAATGAAACGTATGTATGGCAGCTGAAATAATAAAACTTAGTGATACAAATTCAATAAATTTTATATGAATTCGCTAAAATGTATCAGTGTTTTAGGTATCACAATTAATTTCAAAAAAAATAAACTATACTTACTTGTAAATGTATGCTATTTTCTAAGTCTAGGTCAGTATTTTTTTAAATTTTCTTTTTCTATTGTGGGCATTTTCAATAAGTTCCTTATTTAGTTTTCTTATTTTAAAGAACATTCTTGCCCTGAAAAATAATTTTTTCACTTTAATGTCGCAATGAATATTGGAAGCTTGCTCAATGTGTTTTTTTACAAAATCGTTTGTAATGAGCAAGCTATCTTCATTCACTGCTTTAAATACTGACTCTAGATCACGCATTACATCCATCATACTACTGCTGGGGATAGATAAACCCCCCTCACTTAAGTGAGTTGCCCAGGAGTATGACGGATCTTCCCTACTTCTGATTGAGGTGCTAGGTATGTCGTCTCGCAATTTGTGGCATATATACCCAGCTAAGTGCTCCAAACCATCGTACTCCAAATCTTCGAATTCAAGCTGCTCCACCGGCCATGGCTCCGAAGCAACTTTCAAATTTTTCAATATTATACCTTCGAATACATTGGCATGCATTTTAAGTATAGTTGCGTGATTTGTTGGGTATATACATAACTATCTATTTTAAATGTATTTTAAATACTTACCTGAAAGAGGCGCCAGTGTTATTTCTAAATCAGGTGTATCATCTACCTCGACATTGGCAGAATGCGATAGGACGCCTTCATTATGCCCAAGTAAATACAACCTGAGGCGGTATTTAAATTCTTGCTGATCCGGGTGATCGTGCAGCCCACCTTTTGACCGGATCACTCCAAAAAAATTTTCATGCACATCCTGGTTGAGACCGTAAGTTAAAATATATTTCCCATTAAATCGGGTTTTTATATCTTCAAACAACATTTTCAGTGCTCTATTCATCTGAATGATTCCTTAAAGTAAATTAAGCAAAAGTCGTAAATACTTGAACATAAACTCATATCAACAAATATGGAATACATATTATATTATAAAGTATCACAAAGTATATTAGTTGTGTTACCTTTCTGGAATGGCAGCAAACTGTTCCTTCCAATCACCCTCATGCTTTTTATCATATCCGTCATCTCGTTCAGTATTTGGTCCTGTTCCTCGAGAGCTAGGCCGTAAGCATGGCATCGCTTTCTCGAACCAGCGTGTGGCACCCTGACGTTCAAAACGTCAAACCAATCATTAGTCTGAAATGTTTGAAATTTATTATAATAATAAGATGTATAATTATGTTAATTTTTTTGTCAAAGATACTAACTACTTTAAACAATTGGAAGCATTCATTCCAATTCTGCTCTTTAAGGTGGCCTAAGCTTGCTGCCCTCGTAATTGCTTGCGCTACCGTGTGTGAAAATAATTTAGCAGCCGTTTTTACCTTTTGTCGGTGAGGTCCTGACACGCTCAAATGACTTGCCGAAATCTTATGTGTAATTGTCAAGCCTGTAGAGGTGCATGATAACAGCTCTAAAATAATTTCCTTTTTAACCGATTTTCCATTGATTAAGAACCCTTGATCAAGAAAATGATTCCTTAGTAATTTTAGCAAATGGGGTACGTCCGCAAAAACGAAAATTTTTCGATCTCCGAAAATAAACCTGCGAAGTAGAAATGCATTACATAAGAAATAAGTTTAGGTGGCTACCTTATTAGAGAAACTCACCTAAACTCTTACGGATTGTGATAAAAAGATAAATCAAGACGATGTAAATTTTATAACTTACCAAGGGTTGTCGTCGTCTATATTAAGCGCATTAAAAAGTGATCTGTTGGTTCCTCCAAGATCGCATACAACCGCTACAACATTGTAACCGCAATTTTGTGAAGTTTGCAAAATGTTTTTCAGCACATCTTCCTCCATTTTGCGATCAAAATCGTAGAACACGGGCTGTTTCCACTTAGCCATAAGTCCTAATGAATATAAGTATATTAGAAATCCAAGTAAGTAAATTGTTTGTTGTGGTATTTACCTCTGAGCATTGCTACTTGTACGTAATTTGCAGGCGCTAGTGTTGAGTCCGACAAAGTATCATAACAATATGTCTGCCTTATTTTCATTTCGTCGAAACTCAGGACACATAGCTTTTGCAGTGTGTCCATGTGGGTAGCGGCTCTGAGTATCTGGAATACCGGTTGTATAAAGCCTCTTGACATCTCCAGCTTTTCCGCCCATTTTTGAAGCGTTCTAATTCCAGGTAGGGGAAATTTTTGCTTATAAAGCAACCTGTAAGCCTTAGGACTTGCAGCATACAATGTGACTGACTGCGCGATGTCGTTTTCAGTCCAGGTCGGGCGTTTTGATCCAGAATTTAATTTCTGTATCTGGCCTTTAGTAAAAATTGTTGCCAGTTTCTCCTCCATATTGCTGCATTCAGTTTCCATAATTGAAAGGCGTTTCTGCAATTGTTCTATTTCCCAAGCACTTTTTTTCTGTTGCGATTCGTATTCTCGTTTTAAAGCCACACGGTCGCTGCTCTGCTTTTTATTCTGTTTTTGAAGCAGCTCATTTTCGCGTTGTAGGGCCACTCTAGATGTAGTTTAAAATAATTTATATATATTCACATTACATTCTTATATCGATTTATCTCACATTTTTATTTTCAACTCCTCCACTTCCTGTAAATTGCAGTCATAATAAAAAAATTCTCGGGACGGTGATGTCGAAGCGTCAACATATCCGTGAGGTTCCTCTTGAGGTTCCTCCACATTCAACACTTCTATAATACACAAGCTTGTAATAATGAAATACACTTTTTACCTGTTATAACTTTAGTTAACTTTTGAAGTGGATTGCTGAAGCAAATCACTTATAATTTGTTTATTCAATTCTTGAGTGGGCTCAGGATTGGCAACACAAACTTTTGGCACAGCACCGCGCTTGAGTATTCGTTTCTTAGCGAATCCTGAGGAATATTCAATGGCACGTTTTTACTGAATACAAAAATATGAATCAAATATACTTTACCCAAATTGAATTCTACATTATTTTCATAGTCATTACTTGTGAAATGCTTCATGCATATAACATTCGTCTTCGGGTTGAATTCATCATCCCTCTGGCAGAACTGGATCCACTTTTCCAGCAGTGCCCCATCAGAAGGAAAACGAAAAAAACTGAAACCCTTCGGGGTAGTGCTGTTATCACTAGCACAAGATTTTACTGCGCACCTCATTATTAAAATAAATTTAATTAAATAAAGTATTTAATAAAACTCTCGAAATTTCTGTACTTGCTGATTTTACACACACAAGGATGTTTACCAACAATAAGTAAGTAAATAAACTGCTGTCTTCTCTACTGTGACGTCACCAAAACAGCTGATTCTGTCAAAATCACTGAGAGCCGAGTAGCGGTATCGTCATCGGCGCCACCTCTGTATTCTCTCCACCGTGATTTCATATGTTGATACGGACGGCCGGTACGGAAGGGCTCTAAACGTTAAATCACCATAACCTTAAACCAGGGATGGGCGTAATCAGGAAAATTAATAATTGAATAAAAAAAAATAAGAATAAGTTTTCATTCATCATTTCAACATTTTTGAATGACGAATAAATTTGTATTCTTCA